CTCCCTGAGGCCCGCGTGAACAATGGGCAGCTTGAGGTCAACCGAGGGCAGTCCGACCATCAACACAGCACCACATGACCTGGTCGCCTGGAGAAGCAAATATATTTAGCACAAAGAAAAACACTGGCTTGACTTGAATATTTCTTTTGACTACGTATCTGTCTGTCTCTGTCTATCTGTCCATGTAACTAGTCATATGTGTATTTATTTATCTGTCTGCCTGTCTCTATTTGTCTACCCGTTGATATATCCATGTATTTATATGTCTATTTGTCTATGTATTTGATATTGTTTGGTATGCGCTATTTTCCCTATAAAAAGACACACGTATTGCACATATCAAACTGCTTTAGTTGATAAGAACAGATCACATTGATATGTTTAGGTACCTCGTTCCTTGACCTATTTTATTACATATCTCATTTCATCTATACTCAATAGTCACAAAAATAATTGCAGATGTGTTTACTCGTACTAAAGGATACCCCCATAGCCTTTCAGTACATGTTCCTGAAAATGATGGGCAGTCCAATCACCCGACGTAAGACCGATAAAACTACCGACAAAGCAATTTCAATTTAAAAAAACATGACGAGGAGATCTCGACAAACAATTATGATTAATTACAAGAGGCAAGAAACATTTTTTTTCTAGGCCAACAATACGAAGCTCTTCCTCACATAAATGGCCGTTTGGAAGGCGACCTCGACGCCGGTGCACTCGAGCGTGACCTCCGGCATGCAGCCCATCACCTCCTCGATCCTCTTCGCCTCCTTCTGGGGGTCTGCGCCCCCCGCCAGCATGGTGTAGTTGGCGCCCATCTTCCGTGCGGTTTCCAGGCGCTCCGGTCGCACGTCTGTCGGGCAAGCAAATCTAGTTTTTAGAACTTTTAAGGATTATATTCTGCTTGAATAACCAGACAAATATATGTAAAATTTAGTTGATGGGTAAAAAAATATCATATCTTGATGGAGATCTATCTTGGTGATAAATGGACATGGTGGAATG